AACCCACCGAACCCACCCCCCTCCCAGAAACCTTTAAAACCTTATCTAAAAATTTCCCTAAAAAACCCCACAACCCCCTCCTCGCCGCATGCCACCTCTCGGGATTCCAAAATCCGTCATCAAGGTAGGCCCTCGATAGTGAGGAGGGCCAAACCTGCGAGAGGGGGGAGTCTCGCAGCGCAAGCAGGTCAGCAGCCGTAAACATCGCACAAAAACAGAGATGGAGAGTCAATTGGTCAGGGCTTCACCAGATCGTCCAATAATACTGGGTCAAAGTAGATCTTCATATCAGGAGCTGGTTTATAGTTTAGCATGTTAGCTCAGCCAATTGTAGTTTATTCAGTTTACCATAGTTAAGCAAAAACACGGCGCTGCACACTCTCTGAACAAGATATTGTATGTGTCTTTGTTCAGAAATGTTATATCCCAATGTTGTGGTTTAGGTAAAATCTAGTGTTGCTGTTTCATTAATATTCTCCATTGTCAATTGTTACAGTCCATAATTTTGCTATATATGTTTGGATTTTGCAATAAAAGATAATTATGGAGCTAACTCTGTGCTTTTAATCACAGGCTTCCTGCTTCCAAATGCTACCTTTTTATTGTTTCTTGTTTATTAAACATTAAGATTAACCTTTAAGTGACCTTTTGAAAAGATACTTTTGTCCTGAATCTAAGTTTCTGTGTTGATGGAGGAGAAAATTTAATTAAAAATTTGCTCTCATTTTTATTGCTTCTTCAACACTATTTGGCAGTAATAATTAAGAAAATTCATGAGACCTGATAAAGAAGCTAGTCAACATTAATCCTCCATCTGTGATTAATAACAAGCAACGCATAACATAGTTTTAGAATGTTTAAAAGCTTTAATAAAAGGCAAGATTTATAAATAAAGAACTAAAATTACATTAAAATAGACCAAGTAGTGTTCCACAAATTCTTACAAGACTTGTAAGATTTTTGTTAGAAAAAGCATAGCTACATAACATAACTCTATACTAAATGTTTCTGTAGAATTTCTGCTTTTATTCAGTTTCTAGCTACCGTAATTATCAAAAATGCTTATTGTCACTTGTAATCATATTTCTTTTCTTATGTGGAAGTAAGGAGAATATTGGGAATTAAACTATATTCTGTATTGACTCCAGGCAACTATTTACATTGGGAAAATATGGGTTGCGTGCTTTATAGGAATACTTGTCAATTGAATAAGACACACAACTGTACAGGTTCCACATACAGTTCAGTTGTTAATAATTCCAAATAAATAATGATATGCATTTGGTTGTAGTGAATTTCATACTTTTATTTTTAATTGCTTTCACATCGCTAGAATTCTTCAAATTATAATTCTCAGAACATGCACTAGAAAATACATTAGGCTTATAATATGAGTTCAAAATGGTAATGTTTGTGATTTTCACTCATTTTTCACTATATAATTAGGGTAAAGTCATTTAACATAAAATGTTAATTAACTTCATGTGGGGCTAAATTCCAGTATTACATATAGCATGCTTGACTGTTCTTCTAGAATGAACTTCGAAAATTTATATAGCCATCCAACTCATACACAGTGACTCTGGTAGTGTACAATCTTAAAAATCCAGTTAAAATTCTATCTAAACCCCTACCCCATGCCATAGCAACAACAACAGAATCAGACAAGCTACTTGGTCAGTTCTAAATTGGGTCCCCAAGCCCACTGACAAATCATGTCTTCAAGGCCTTGTGAAAAAGCAACAAGATGGGGGCCAATTTTATCTCTGGGAGAATGATGTTCCAAAGGGAGGGAGCCAGCACAGAGCAGCCCTTTTTCTAAGTCCCACCAGATGTACTTCTTTGATAGTTGGGAGCCAAAACATACCTTCGTGCTCTGGTGAGCTACGTAGAGATAATTGGGGAGAGGCAGTCTGTCAAATAACCTGATCCTAAGATGTGTAGAGCTTAAGAGATGATAGCCAGCACCTTGAATTACATCCAGAAGTAAATCAGCAACTGGGTGCAGCTCCCACAAAAGAGGTAACACGTGCAAATTTGGACCTGCACAAAATCATATGGGCTACTGTATTTTTAGTCAACTGAAACTTCCAGATGCTCTTCAAGGACAACCCCATTTAGAAGACATTCAATAGTTCAATGGGAGGTGACCAGAGTGTGGGTGACTATGAGAAAGACCCTGTGATGACTCCCTTGGGCACTGGCTCGGATGACAAGGAAGAGCCGGTTCCAGTGGCATCTGACAGGAGAATCCCCAGATTATGCACCTGCTCTGTCTGAGATAGTGCAACTTCATCCATGACCAAATATGTTAATTTTCCAAAAACCAAAGAGCTCCAGACTCAAAACTACTTTATCTTGCCAAGATTCAATTTTAATTATCGCTCCCCATCCAGACCTCAACAGCCTCCAGGCACCAAGAAACAATGGTTGTGGAATCATTTAACTCACCATGGGCAGGAATGGGCAACTGAGTATCATAATCATGATATCTCACCCCATATTGACAGATGATCTCATCCAGCAATTTCATGTAGATGTTAAAACAGGAGTGGAGAAATCCTTGACTTTTGAAGGACCCTGCAAAGTAGCGGCCAAGGGTCAGCATTCTCCCTCCTGATCAACACTGACTGGAAATGGCCTCAAAGAAAGTAGGTAAACGAGGACAATGCTGTGCCTCTTATTTCCAGTCCCTGTCAGATGCCAATAACCAGACCTACACGTGTAGAGTTCAAGCTACTACTTTATTATGTTCTGCCTATGGAATCTCCCCAGTCTGGCAGCTCTCTCTTGGGAGCAATTAGATAAGGCTCCAAGGAATTTAGGATGAGCTGGTCCTGGCCCTTTGACAGTTGTGCAGTGACTAGCTGCACACTTGATCCCTCCTCGCTACCAGGTTAAGTCTTCCCAACAGTCCCCAAATCTATCTCAAAAGAAGACTATAGTTGATGGTATTGAAAACTGCTAAGAGGTCTAGTAAAGCAAGGACGAATGTACTACTACTGTCCTGCTCCTGCCAGAAATCATGAAAACGTGTGACCAATGTCATTTTCATCTGATATTCAGGCCTGAATCCTGAAAGGAGTCCAGATAATATGTTTCCTCAGGATCCTTTGGAATTGCAACACCGCCACCTTCTCAACAACCTTCTCCAGGAAGATTAGAGGCAGGATGAAAATTGTTCATCAGCGCGAGATCTAGTGATGGTTTCTTAAGAAGGGGGAGAACTACAATTTCTTAAAGGGCAAGGGTACCACCCCTCCTCCAGAAATGCATTAACCACTGCAAGTACCCAACCATACATCATTTCCTAGGAAGCTTTTATCTTGGGGAGGGGGGGGAGACACAGTTCTAAAACACAGGTGGCCTAAGCTCATATTCCTAAGGATTCTGTCCACTTCCTGAGGAGCAACAGGATCAAACTGTGTCAGGCACAAGCAAGTAGACCTACACTTGTAAGGAGATGGCTCAGTTCTGGATCCCTTGCAATTGTGCAAGGATTTAAAGCTAAATCCGCCCTTGAGAACTCCCGTCTGACTGAGTGGATGTTTCCCAATGAACTATTCCCAGATAAGAACCATGATGGCACAGTGGTTAGAATGCAGTATTGCAGGATAACTCACTGCTCACTCCAGGAGTTCGATTCTCACTAGCTCAAGGTTGAATCAGCCTTCCATCTTTCCAAGGTCGGTAAAATGAGGACTCGGATTGTTGTGGGCAATATGCTGACTGTAAACTGCTTAGAGAAGGCTGTAAAGCACTATGAAGCAGTATAGAAGTCTAAATGCTATTGCTAACTGGGCAAGCACCCGTCTTGGGCATCTCCATCAGACCAATGTCCATGCCAACGTCCAACTGGGCACAATTCAAGTGCCAACAAAATCAACAAATCCCTTAGTGCTCCTGCAGGTGGACCTCCAGGTCTTCCTTCCCCAGAATGAATCGGGTTATCCTGAAGAGGTCCACTGGGCGATTATCTGCAGATGCAATTTGTTTAAAGTATTTCTGCTTCACTGCATCAATTGCCATGAGGTTGGCTTTAATAGTTCTTACCAGTGCTCAGTCGAATTCCTTCTTCGTCATCCTCCAGTGTTACTCTAGATGTCATTTGATCTGCTTCATCTCTCTCAGTTCCTCTGTATATCACCTGGCCTGATAAGATCCACAGAGCAAGAGAGTCACTTAGGTGCAATCCTCTCTAAAACCTCAATTACCCTCCTATCCCAGGCGGCGACTAGGCTCTCAATAGGACTATGCAGCAGATGTTATAACCCGCAACTCCCTCTGAAACCTTGTTGCACCATACACCGCTGCTGCCATCTTCCATTCATCAATTGTTACAGTACCTTGCTACTAAAGGATTTACTATTATGGTAGCAGTGGCCACTTGATCAATGAAGATTGAACCCAGCATTGCCTCATCATATAAGATTGATAGTTCTTCCTTGCAACTTTTTAAAGGAGCATTCAGCTTCTATTTTGTAAGCTAATATTATTTGACAGTTTCCTTCCTTGTATGGGTGGCAATTAATTTCAGACATAATAACAGACAACAGAGAGCAATATTTAGTATGTTTTTATTAAATATGCAAGTTATTGATATATGGATATACAGACATGGATATAGCTTTTTATTCCCATAGAAAAAGTGTTCATGCATGTGTACTAGAGAGAGAAAGTGAACATGTTATAAGTCGACATCTCTTAATGCACTTCTGGATTCCAACTGCGTGTGTTTTTATGCGTGAAATATATCCATTTTTTTAAAAATGTGGTTTGATGTCCAATTGCAAATAACATTGCAGTTGTAACCTGGAGATATATGTTAATGCAGTGCAATTAAAATGATTTAGTTAGCTCTTGTATGTTCAAATAATATGACACCATAGTTGAGCCAGGAGGGAGGGTTATCTTGCCAAAAAAAAAAAAAAAAAATCCAGCTCCTGTTTTATTTTGCCTGGTGCTCTGACAGACCTCTGTTTTTCTCTTTTTTTTATTAGCAAAGTGTCTTCAAGATGGAGATAGAAGACTGCAATGGGCGATCTTACATATCTGGTATGGATTTTTTTGCATTTTTCTGGTTGAAATTGATATTTTTAGTGTGATCTTTTGTCTTGATTTCTTTTTCTTATTAAAAAATACATTGCAGGACTTCTAGCTTTTTATCAGACTAAACTTCTACTTCCAGCACTTTTATACAAGAATATTCAAAATGACTGAAGGTTGAGGATCCTCATGACTTCTTTCCCAACATAAGGTGGGAATTAATTCCTCCATTTGTTGCTCTCCTGAAGATCTGGGAATCTAAATATGGGAGAATATATTTTTTCTCCACCCTTTTTGTCCTTAGTTTGTGGTGCTTACTCCAACAAATGACTGATAATGGAGACCAGGTACTATGAGTTGGTTCAGTTCAACAGCACAAATATCCTAGGGCAAGGGTCAACCTGGTTATGTGAATAGATTTTCAGGGTCCGTAAACTTGGATGGGAAAACTATTACAACTTTATTATTTTTTAACTTAAAAATTTTTTAGCTTGTCTTGTAATTGATTTAATGGATTAATATAGAAGTGCTGTACGTATATTACTATTATTACACACTTATTTGTTTTGTAAAATATTTTTATAATCATTTGAGCAGAATTGGTTTCCTTTGTAACACAGTTTATGCTTATATATTTTAATTTATGTATTTAAATGCATTCCTCTGGGAAGGGGACTTTAGGTTTCAGACTAAAGGAGTCAATTGCACAAAAATAGTAACAATCTCTAGCTTAGAAAATTGCCTTCCTTGTGGGGGTTTTGGTACTCTCTGGGCTTGGTCATTTGCTTGCAGATGTTTTGTTACTCAACTAGATCACATCATCAGGGTGAGTGTGGACTTTGCTGCTTGTTTATATATAGTACCTTGCCCGGCCAGATTTCATGGAGGTATGATTTTCTCCTTGGTAGTTCTTTGATTAGAGCATCGTTTTTTGCCAAAATTGGCAGCTATTGTACCAACAGGTAGCAAATCCTATTTCGGTGACAACATGTCTGCAAGGAAACAAGCAAACTTCTATCAATTAATTCCATAGTTGTATTCTGAGCTGTAGATATTTTCTTCTGTTAGTTCCCCTTCCTTCCTATGCCCATGTTAAACTATGGTCAGTGCTCCAAGGCACAATTTGACTCAGGAGATTCCATTCGGGTCTCATCTTTTTCTTGGCTCTATTGGTTTGAAGCAGTGTGCCAAAATTGGAGGGGCAGGGGATTGGTGAGGTAGTCTTACAAAGCTACTGCACAGTGATTGTGTTCTGAAGAGCAGATGTGGAAAAATACTGGAGTTTGTCCTCAACCCACTGTCAAATTTGGCATATATTTTTACTATGAAATATAGCAGACTTCCAACTTGGGCCACTAATTCAAAGCAATTCAATTAGTTGTTTGTCTGACAATCTCCTGTTCTAGAAATGATAGGTTTCTCTGTGTTTATTAGCTGAGAACAATCAATTCACTACAAATTTAAATTAAACCTTTGTCCACCAGAATTACTTGACTGATGCAAACAGTTCTCTCTGAAGACAATCTATTTTCCAGGCATACTTAATATTTTTCTGTGAATGTTTTGTCAGTTTGGTCATTGGCTGCATTTTTTGTTACTATGGGGTTAATATGGTGTGTGTGCGTGTGTGTACCTCTTTGCTCTCCTTTTTAAACCATCTGTCTTATTAAATCTCCTGTAATACTTTTTGATCCTATCCCTTAGCAGGTCCTAGGCAGTCTATGAAGTGGCTGATTAATGGAGAAAGACAACATTCCTAGCTGGTATTCCCTTTGACTCCTCTTGGGCTAACAGCAGCCCACTACTTTAAAACTTTTGGAAGGGTTGCCTCCATCCATTGTATTATATTTAAATGTAAATTATTTTCAAATTAATTGCAGTCTTTGGGAGATAAAGGGTTAAGGGAATTCAATTTAATTTGACTTCTGCTATGCATGTGTTTATTTTACAGATGGAGGACTGGAAGTATTTTTTTTTACTGATGGAAATTTCCTTCAGTATGGAGGAAAGGGTGGAAAGGGTGGAAATAAACTTATTAGTATTATTATTAAAGTTGGGACAGGTGGAGCAAATAAATATAATAATTTTAAAGGGATAAAAAGATGCTAATACTTTAATTCTGTATGTTATTTTAATTTTAAGTATGTAACTGTATTTGGCCTGACAGAGTAAATGGCTCTGGTTTCATGAAATCCCTTTTGTGATTACAGTAGCACCTTGATAGGTTCTGAAACTTTCTAAAGTGCCCATTGGCTTAAAAGTATCAGCCTGGCTGTTTATTATCCCATTCCAGATCACACTCCTGAGAAGTGAGTTGAGCTTAGAAAAATTGACTGGCCCAAAGTCTTCCAGGTACCTTTCATGCCTGAATGAGGACTAGAATTCATGGCCTCTTGGTTTCCAGCCTGATACCTTAGCCACTGTACCAAACTAGCTCTCGGTTTACATAAAAGTTCACATAAAGATTCACATAAGAAGGAAATGTAGAGAAGATAAAAAGTGTACTTCTTGGCGAAGCTGATAAATAAGATAGACTAAAGGCTTTCCCTTCATATAGCATTTACAAAGGATTTAAATGGTGCCAGGAATACAAATGAATATATTAAACTCATTGATATAATTGATATAGGGGACTGGAGGCTAAAACATATGAAGAATGGTTGCAGGAACTGGGTATGTCTAGTTTAATGAAAAGAAGGAACAAGGGGAGACATGATAGCAGTGTTCCAATATCTCAGGGGTTGCCACAAAGAAGAGGGAGTCAAACTATTCTCCAAAGCACCTGAGGGTAGGACAAGAAGCAATGGGTGGAAACTAATCAAGGAGAGAAGCAACTTAGAACTAAGGAGAAATTTCCTGACAGAACAATTAATAAATGGAACAACTTGCCTGCAGAAGTTGTGAATGCTCCAACACCGGAATTTTTTAAGAAGATGTTGGATAACCATTTGTCTGAAATGGTGTAGGGTTTCCTGCCTGGGCAGGGAGTTGGACTAGAAGACCTCCAAGGTCCCTTCCAACTCTGTTATTCTATTTCTATTTCTATTCTATTTCTAATTAAAAACCATGCTTTGGTTGTTAGAGGTGAAGTGTGGACAGATTGACTTTGGAAAAAATATATATATTTTGATTGGACAGAAAAGCATAATAGAAGAGTAATTATGAATAAAAGAATCAGAATTACTTGCAGAAAAATGTTGATTTAGATAGCAAACAGATGGAATATGGGTCAAATAGAACCTTTGGAAAAATGAGCTGGCTGTTGTTTTTTAAATCATGATGTAATAGATGTGTCGTGTTAGCAAGGATTTTGATTACTAGTGAAGTGTCTAATATAAAAATAACATTAGTTTAAAATCAAACCCACTAATTTATTGAAGAAAAATTCAGAAAGTAGAGAACGTTTTTATAGATAAAGTCTACTGCTGAAGTTACTGGGGGATTAATAGTTTCTAATAGCATAAAGAATTAAATTGATGTCATAGTCTACAGTGCAAGTTGTTGATATAAAATAAGAATGAGTCCAATTATAGTAGAGAACTACTGTACTGCTGTGAATATGCAATCTTTTGGAAGCAGAATATTTGAGAGCTACCTTAATGAATTGCTATGAAATGTGTGCTTTGTGGTTAAAGATGCAGTAAATTACTTATCTAGTTACCTGCCTAAAGGTATCAAGTTAGTATGATGAGAAATTAGTAATCTGTACAAATCATGGTAATTAGTAGGCTAATTGTGTGCAGAAGTGAACAATTAGGTGTGGCTGTTTTATGAAATACTGACTACAGGCAGTCCCCAGGTTAAGATCTGATTCTGTTCCCTAACCCTGTTTTAACCCAAATTTATACTGAAGTTGGAACAGGTTACTATACCTGTTCTTCTGCATATCGGAGATGAACAACAAGATTTTTTTTTTGGTAAAATTTAAACTTACAGGTTTTTTATTTTACAAGACAACTACTGACATTTGCATCATATCTAGAGATATTTCCTTACCTAAATAGAAAAACAAAATGACCAGGCAAAAAAACAGTGGGGGCAACTGCCAACTGCCACTTTCCCCATTGAGGTTGCTTGTAGAAAGCTGACAGGGAGCTTGGAAATCACTCCTCCATCTCTTCCTTGGCTGACCCATGGAACTACTTGACACTTTTCTGAGTGGAGGGTGCATAAAGATAGCTATGAACTGTGAGGAAATCTGCACCAACACTCCCCATGCTGGCATGTGCCCAAGGCCCCCTCCCTTCAAACAGAAAGTGAGCTCACCCATTAATAAACCCTAGACCAATAATGGTGAACATTTTGGGCTCAGCTTGTCAAAAATTTGGAAAATGTCTAACTTGCCTCTACTGACGTGTCATAATTTCCCCTCCAAACAAAAGAGAGAACAAATTTTTAGGTCCCCCACCCCCCCAGTCTAGGCCAACCTGAACAGTGTACTTGAAAGTGCTACATCTGGGCCTGAAGTCGAGGCCCAGGTCTTGCCTTCAGCCTTAGAGTCATCATTGTCACTCAAAAAGGCTACCTCACACTGTTCTCCAGGATCTGCCACACACCGCACAGCTTCAGGTGGTATTCCCTTTCTTTTGAGAGACTTCGTAAGCGTTCAAAAATCTGACAAGGACGGGATGTGCTTTTGAGAATATTTGCTGTTGGGTGTTGGTGAATGCCGGACACTGGAGCGTCACTGAAAATCTTGTGGATTGTCACCTTTGACATGTATGTTATAGAATCACCATCAATGCCCTATACCAGTGATGGCAAACCATTTTGCCATCGTGTGCCAAAAGTGGGGGAAGTGGGGGGGGGTTGCGTGCACATGTGCCCACACCCATAAGGCAATACTCCCCTGCACCCTCGTGCATGCGCGCGTGACCCCCTACACATGCGCACACAACCCCCCCCCCGTGCCCCATTTTGGGCCTAGCAGGCCTCCCTGAAATCTCCGGAGGTCAGAAACGGCCTATTTCCAGAGTTCCGGTAGGCCTATTAGGCCCATTTTTCACCCT